TTAACTTTTTATTTCTATCACTTTTTACTGCCGTTGTTTAAAAACTCGCAATGTCAATTGAGTACAAATAAATACTTATTTTTATTTATATTTTTTTACACTGGATAGTTGAGTCAAGTTTACATTTTTTATATCGCAGATAAACAACTTTTGTCGTCTTCATCAAGTGAGCTTAAGGGAGCTGTTCCGAAGCAATACAGTGCACTAGCTCCTTTTCGTAATTTCTTGGCAACTTATAAAAAAAATATCTATATATTTTTTTTTACTCCACCACTCAAGAAGGGACCAGCATAAAAAATAACAATGACACTAACGCTGAAGTTGACATTTTTTTATTTATAAATATTTTTTATTGCCGGTATTTTTGTTATTATTTACGCCCTTACAAAAGGATTTAGACATGGAAAAAAGACTAGAGAGGAAAAAGCTGGTGTTATTTTCGGGCTCGTTTTTTACGACTCTCATGTTTCTTATACTTGGCTTCTTATTCGTTTATTTTTTTTATTATTTTTTCGTACCACGGTTTTCATCTAGTTGATCTGGCTAGCTGCGCATTCTAGGACTAGGGATGATCTGAGGTTTTGAGGGGTTCAACGTGATCCCTTACTCGACATGTTAGAACTTGGCCTCTTGATCTCGGGATTAATCGTGCTTTAAGGATGAAGACTAGTATAGCAAAAGAAAAATAAAACGAAAATATCGAAAATTATGGGTAAAATGGGAAAAATCGTAGATGAAAGAACTAAATCTTCAGGGATGATGAAACAAAAATTCAAGGTTCATTTATTGATATGATGGAGAGCCTAAGTCAATAATAGTTTATTTATTTTTAGATACATTTTTTCATTATAGGGAGGACATTATTACTGAAATAATAAGTAATTTTGTTTTGATTACTTAAATCCATAATTTTATGCCGGTTCATATAATGCACTTTTCTAGTGTAAAATTTACATTTTTATTAATGTAAATTTAATAGATGTTTTGACAGGAATAAAACTGTACACGGAAAAAAGTAAACTGTAATATTCACTCGGATTCCGGTTAATTTTTATAGTTTCAAACAGTAAAGCGGACATCGGGGTGGCAAAAATCTAAATATTACAGAACTTAATGTAGAAAGTACAAAAGCCACAATTTATAATTTAATATCCAAAATAAGTGATTAGGAGCTGTCACTATAGTAAATAACGACTCTTTTATCTTAAAAAATTACAGTTTCAAACAGTAAAAATTGCCATTTCAATATACAGTCCATATTATGAGAAGGGGAACTCAGATGAAAGAAAAGGGGGTCTCACTCTGGGAGAATTTAACATTTGAAACAGTAAAAATTATACTTTTAAAATATACATTTTACTTTGTAAATATTGACGTTGCTTGCTTGTATTCATAAGATCATTTTTTAGGTACCAAATGATAAATATCAAAGTCTGAATTGTTAATTATTATACTTTAACATTTTAAACATTTACATAGCGAATATTACTGTTTGAAATAGTATTTTATTCCATGTAAAGAGTAAATTGTAACGTTTAAATGGTAAATATTATAAAGTGAATAGTAAAATCACGATTTTACTGTTTAAATGGTAATTTTTAGCAGTTGATCATTAATTATAAATCGACTGTTATTTATTACAGTTTACTTTTTTCCGTGTAAATTTAACAGAATTTTTTGTGAGTAAAAAAACGAAAACAACCCTTCGTATCAACTAATTTGGTGAAATCCAATAAAGATTTAAAGGTTATCTTTATCTCTCTTTTTTTTTGCGACCCTCAACCCGAATCAACTAATTTTCTTGCTCGATTTCCGGGCAATTAGTGTCGGTCTCCGCTCTCACCGGTGTTCAACGGCTATTGGATTCCGCGAATCTCGTAACGATAACTATATCTATCCCCTATCGTTTAATTTTCCCAGCTGGCCTTAACATCGTCATTCTGTTCATTTGTTATTACCAAATCTAATTGCCGTGGATGAAATGAGAAATGACATTTGTTCGCTCGATAATCCCTAAATTCCAATACTTGCCCCAGATGTATGTAGTATAGACAACAATATTCCCCTAAAACTGAAACTACAATAATAACCTATATTTAATACATCAGCGGACAGTATACTGCGATAAACCACCGGTTGACATGTAACTACAGTTGACACAAATCCTTCTTTAATAATTGCTGTTAATCTATACGTACTGATGATAATGAAAGCAAGAGTGAGATCGAGGCAGAAATTACTAAGCCGCAGAGTAGAAACAAGAGCAAGAGCAGGAGCAGTTGGCAAATAGGTTACCTGGCGACTGTTAACATGGGAATTCAAGGGGATGCTGATGATGGCCACGGTCTCGCTGTATTCCATGTAAATGTGTATTGTGTACGTACGTCTGTACGGCTGACCATGAGTGTAACGAGGTAACAAGGGATAGAGCGAGCAGAGCCGAAAGCTGAAAGAGGGTGGGTGGATGTTCGACTACCTCGGATAGGATTGGGACTGCTACGTAGCAAACGTGACCTCAGAATCAGGATGCAAATTCGGGGAATAATTATTCCGAGTGTCCGTCTCGCGTTAGGGTGCCCCGTCACAACTCTCCTCTTTCTATTACACATCTCCCTGCTAACTGCTATAACTACAGCCCTTAAACCAATCTACCTCTCCCGGCAAATCCCCCTGATTCGGAGATTTCTGGATGTACATGTATATGTATAGATACTATGCGAGAGAATGTCAGCATCCAAGTCACCGTCATCGTTGTCGTCGAGATTGAACGCGCACCCTCTGTAGTCTGCTTCAAATGAGATCAAATATTTATACGTTTACATAGATGATTCTTGTCGAGTATGTGTATGTCGATGATGGGGTTCTTGATTTTAGGGAATGTAAATGTCCGAGTTTACGGAATATATATAGCAACTGATATTTACATTGCTGATTATATCACGAGAAAAGAAAGATAAATTTTCTTAACAAACTTAAAAAGAAAAGAATTTTGTTTTATTGAACATGAGTTTTTGAAAAAAAAAAAAAAGAAAAAGGATAGTATAATAGAGTATTTCGGCACAGAAAAAAAAGTTTACTCGAATCAAATAAATAATTTTGAAGAATTTAATCTTTATGATTTGAGTGGAAAAATTTTTAAACAGGATTTTTTGATGAAAATAAATTTAGCAGATATATTAAATAATTTTTAGAACTTTTTTGACAAATAAAATACCTGATATGACCGTAGATAATTTTTTATATGTCCTGAAATATACATATTATGATTATTGGGCATAACAGCCCTAAATATAATTTTTTGATCAGTTAGTATTAAAAATCTCCAACAGATGGCGCATGATCGCTAAATCCTCTCCTGTGAAGAGAGTTAACTTTGAGATATCAAGTTTATAAAACAAAAATCATCTCTTTGACTCTTCTAAGTACTATACCAATTTAAGTTTGAATAATTGACGTACAAATTTGTAAAATAATAAAAAATTACAAATAATTACTTATTTTCTCTCCAAGTTAGGTCATTTAAACTGTATCGGAAAAAAATAAGTTTGATCAGTTATTTATGTTAGTAAATATGTCAGTTAATTTGTACTCATAGAATTTTTTTTCCTAGTGAATAATAATTAAGGTAGTTTGTATAAAGGGTGAATTTTAATGAAAAAGAAAAGTATGTTTATTTTTGTATAAGTACCTGGAGGGCCAGTTTTACGTATTTGTTATTTCAAAGAGTATGTTTTTGCTGTTGAAACAAAGTCCTAAACAAGCATTGTTCTTTAAAGAAGGAAATGAAATAAAAATATAAAAAATTTACAAGAATATGAGGTCAAAGGTCGTTTTTTCGCTTATAGCAATTCTATAAGATTTATTTAGCCCGTGGTGAAGTAAGAGCACGGTAAAATTTTATATAGGATTCGTCCCACTCGGCAGGACCACAGAGTTATGGTTTTAAGAATCCAGACAACCTCAAGACTTTAGTATGAAGGAATATAAGGAGAAGAACAAGAGAGACTGAGAGATAGAATGATAAAAAGAGCATTCACTGTAAGTGGGAAGAGCTTAGAACCGGAAAGTGCTTGTGGAAAATGTCCTTTTCACTATTACTCCTCTCGATTCTACCGTTTTTAGACCAACACTAAATTGTTTTCAACCTCTATCGGCAACTTTATCTTGTTATTTATTTTTTTGTCTAGTTCATTTTCAACTCTAGAATAACTAATGATATTTTCTTATTTTTTTTAACTTAATTTAATTTACTGCAAAATATACTCCGACTAAACAAGACACTATTTGTGAAATAAATTTTCTTTTTTAGCCTATAAACAATAAGTTTAATATTAATTTAAATTAAAACAAAAAATTCATGTCTTTGATAAATAATAACGTTATAATTAAATTTATTTTTGTATGTCAACAAGTATGATTGATATTTCTCCCTTTGAATTATTTATATAAAATGAAAAATGACAAGAATATTAGTTGGGAGAATAAACATATTATTTATATAGGTATGTGACAGAGTGGACGAGACCAGACCAAGAAAACAATTTATCATTTTGTGATACCGTAAGTTTTTTAAATATTTTTCTTCTATCAAATACAAAGCAATGATAGAACGGAATAAAAAAATTAAAAATAACCTTTCGGTTTTATTTTCACCACGTCTCCACCCGCTTTCCTCTCTTTTTCGCTGGTGGTACTCTTCTTATACTCTACACATTTTTTTACGGTAGGTTTTTTTTTGTTGCGGTTGCGGTAAGTGAGGTAGATCGATCGAACGGTCAGACGACAGAAGGATTACCTGTCGAGTTCGAGAAGATAACCAGCTGGAAAATCGCTCACCGACAACATCTTCTCAAGTGAAAAAAATTTATATGTATCGTTATTTATAATTTTATCTATAAACTTAATCATATTATAAATAATATGATAATATATAATCACAAGGAAGATAATTTCATTACTGCAAGGTTTTTTTTTATTAAATTTTTGTGTTGATTAATTAATCAGGCCTTTGGTAAATGCCTAAAAAAAAATTTCACAAAGAAAAAATATTTCTAAATCATTATAAAATTTTTTTATAAATTTAAAAATTTTTGATAATTATTTTTTATTAAATTTTCAATATTTTAATCCATAAAAAAATTTTTTAACTATCAAATATTTTATTTTTAACATTGATTAAAAATAGAATAATTTAAATAAGTACTTATTAAAATTGAAAGTATTGTAATAAAAATTGGATAATTTTTTTGATCAAAAAGCTGTAAAATTTTTTTGAAAAATTCCCTTTTGATAACGAGGCAACATAAACACGGATCAACAAGGATATGCCAGTAGAATAAGCCGAGTCAGGTCAGACACAAAGGCGGGGTAAATTTTGGCCATAAAGGGATAAAGCATCCGTCAACACCGGGAAACACGTCACACACATAGACGTTCATACTCATATGACATGCGTGAGGTACTAAAACGATGCTAATGTTCCGGGCCAGGAGGGCTAGGTTCTTGTCGCTGGGTTGTTTTGGGTAGCTAGATGTGTGATGTCGGATATATTCAAGAGGGTGCGAAAACCCGATGAGATCCAGTTGGGATCCAAGGTATACCCGACTAACCTAACCGATATCCTGCAAGAGCAGAGGGAATCACTAGAGCTGGTAGAGAGAGGTGTACGCAAATATGTATGCTAACGAGGACGTGAATTCTCGACGTTGATACATAACAGCCGGGGTAGTCAAAGCCAAACCAATGTTGTTGAGTGACGTTATATCATACATTGATATACATCTAAAATATTGTCACTGAGGGCTATCGATATTTTCTCATAAATTCCCACACTCAAATAACTGACAAATATTATATCTGTATCAGATTTATGGCTTTTATTTTTCTCAAAAGATTTATAAGAATTTTTTTTATTAAAATTTTACAACGAGTTGATGCAATGTACATTGAAATTCTGTCTTCTATTATGTTGAAATAGTCACCTTCTTTAGAAAATATCGGGTTTAAAAACCAGCTGTTCCAGAAATCTATTGCTTGCATCGCTGCTTTAGATTCGTTAGTATCATTTAAATTTCCCGGATGAAACCACATTAATGAAACCACTAATGAGGCCATACTTGTTATAACAGAATGTTATTTAAAAAAAAAAAAAAAGAAAAAATGTCAATATGGTGACCATAAAGAAATTGAATAACGGATAAATGAATATCCTTCCAAACCTCGTTGTTTGTTCCGAAATTGTTCATTATACAATCTGTATGTTTTTGCGTGGGCCAGTAATGCATTGTGACCACAAATGTAACTGGCAATTCCAGATTGGTTGATTTGGGGTGGAAATAATCCATCATAACCGAACATACAGTAGAAATTCGGTTCATTGAATGTAAACCAATTTTTTACCTGGGTGTATTCATTATTTATTATTAATTTTTTATTTTATATATTGAGTAATACTTTTTATTTCATGAAATAATTTTGATGTATTGTAATTTAAAGTTATCATCTCACCCTGTCTCCAAAAGCATCAAAAACGACTCTAGCGTAATCAACAAACCAGTCAACTATCAAAGGATTAACCCATCCACCTAGTTCTTGTAATTTCTAAGGCAAATCCCAATGAAATAATGTAATATAGGCCGTGATATTCTGCTTTAACATTTGATTAATCATATCACTATAGAAGTCAATACTGTCTTGATTGATATCACTGGTAAAACCATTAGGTAAAATTCTGGGCCAAGATATTGATATTCTATACGCATTAGCCTATAAATTTGCAAAATTATCTTCAATTATGTGTATTATAATATTTTTACTCTTAATAATTGTTGAAATTTTTCGTAATATTCTTGTTTCATCGCAAGATCCACATTATAGATTATTTTAATCTAATTAGCAGAGTTAAAGATAGCACAAATCGAGTTAGTCATTTAGCTTTATAAATACTGAGAAATATAAACTGTCGCTAATGTATTATTGGATTGATAATTAAATATGTAGTTAGTTATCAAGTAAATTACATAATTACTGTTTTAATTTAAATAAATTAAATAGTTTTAATTTCTTCAATTGAATTTTTAAATTCTTTTTATTTAAGAATTCTGATATGAAAATGAAGACTTTGAATTTGAAAAGACTTTTTTGGTAAATAATGTCAACAATTTAATGACCAAAACGAATAAAATGACTTACTCCAAGTTGTTTAGCAAGATTGATATCAGTTTTATACATATAGTAAGAATTAGTGGCAATATCAGCATTGGTTCGATCATCGATAGTGTACGAATGCTCGTGGATCATCTTATCCCAAATGGATTCACCTTTATCTAAACAATAGACACAGTGAAGATAAATTTATCAAATGAATTTTAAAGCATTATCTTAGAGACAATGAATATTTCACGTACTTGAAACATTCCAGGCCCCTTCAGTCTGATAAGCGGACGTAGCCACGCCAAATATAAAGTCGCTTGGAAATTTATTCATTCTATTAACGAAATTTTTATTCAAATCCATAAAACTTAATGAAAAAATTACCATGAAATGTAGAACACGATATTCTTTCAACCACATAATGTATGCTTGAATAACTAATCACCTAGATATATTTGATAAAATTTCGCGGTATTTTATCGATGGATTTCTGTGGGAATAGTATTGAGCTTCAACTATTCATAGAGAGTACACGAACAAATGCGCACGCGTCTTTATTAATATTTCTGAAACCAGAAATAATTATTCTAATCGTTGAATGAACAGAAATTGTAATAAATTTTTATTAAACTAATAAAAACAAATGGAGTCTACTTATAGATCTTTACGAAAATAAGCAGATAGGAATAAAATAGTTTTAAATTAAATGAGACCTAGAAAAGATTAAACTAAAAGGATTTTATTCAATGGAATTTAAAGTCTCTTTCTAAAAACCAATTACTTAATTTAAAATAAAAACTATAATTTTGTTTTTTTAATTCATTAATTCGAAGAATTTTAAAATCTTAAAAATGATTTTATGCAACAGATAAAAGCTAATTAATTTTGTTTTTTATTATTAAGTATTTAATAATTATTTTTTATTAATTTAAACAACTATTAATTGAACGATTGAATCAAACGAAAACTATAATAACCACAATCTATTTACTACTTCTAATTTATCGATAAACTCGCTCTATAAATAACGATAATATTTAACAGGTCATTGCTTTCAACTCCACAGTATGTCACTTAATCCAAATGTTGACATTATTAATATATAATTCAATCATTCAACAAGAAATTTTTTCAATTTTTCCATTGATTATTTATCAGCACAAGCTAATTTTATAAAAGAAAAGAATCTCCTTATCTGAAGGAATTACGTAATGTTCTAAATCTTGCAGCATGCAAGAGACAATACATATCAGCCCCTTAATTTAACGGGAGACACGTAAGTTATTTACTCTGGCAGCGAGGCTGCGGCGAAATAAACGATCGAAGATGGATGAAGGTACGTAAGATGGATTCAATTAATCGACTCTACTTACTCCTAGACTTGATAACTATTTTAGCGATGTAACATACAATTAACTCTTTTTTTATCAAAATTATAATTTTTTTGAATTTCTGCTCTGTACAGTAGATACTTTATAACTGTCTTCGGGATGCTGTTAACTGAACAGTATTAATTTATACTGTTTTTCACTTATCGGAAAATTAACAATACGTGTATTAAACTTTGCAAATTATAATTTTTTAGTTAAGAATCTTATTGCAATCTTTGTAAATATTTACATAAATTCATGGTTCACATTATGGAGTATGTTGTGCATAATTCTTCAATAAATTAGCAAGAGCACTAACTCTTTATCAACTCTTACATATTTAACAACCAGAGTTGGTTGTTGGTACTCGAGTCTTGTGCAAAGACTTATTATTGTTTGTATATTACGACTGATAAATAAGAATTTGAATGATACTGATAATGATAATGATAAAGAATAATAAAGTTGTTGACAGTAAATTCCTACTCAATGATTTTAGATTAGTTGATTTTTTCAAGTTTTAATTATTACATAAATGATTAATTAGTAAATATATTTATTTTAAACTTCAGGATTAAAAATTAAAATATTATTGTAATAGAAAGCTTTCAACATTTTAACTTTTTTTTCTTAGTGTTAATAAAAAAAAATTCAAATTTGATTAACAAGCTATCGAATGGATTAATAATCACTATATGCTAACAATAATAAAATTAATAACGTGTTTTATATTTTTCAGGACGGATAATAACAGCAGCAAGTCATAGTCGATATTGCGTACTAGTTTACACGACCGAGCATGCATTTTATGAGAGATAGATAGACTGTAACTTTACATTCAAGCTGGAAGTTGAGTGTAAGCGGGAATAGACACAGTATAAAGAAGACAAGGTCCTTATTGAAACTTTCAAAGTGGCAATAAAGCACGTTCATGATAAGCGCGAGCTCAATATTTTTAACTATTATTGTAAATGTGAAAAATAGACTGATTTGAGCATAAAAAACATTTTTAAAAAAATTTAATATAAACAAAATAAACAATATAAAAAAATTTAATATAAATAAAATTTACAATTTTGAAAATTTCCAAATTGTGCCAGTTAATTATATAAAAAATATTCTATTATTACCTTTAAAGAAAATTTTGATTAATTCTTTTAGACTATCGTAGTTTTGGAAATAAATAAAAAAATTTTTGACAAACTGGAAAAATATTGAAATTTTTTGTAAAAAGTTAAAAAAAAATGTTTGTTTGTATATTAGAATAATAAAAGTAAGACTTATTGATTAAATTATGAAAAAAAAAATATTTGTAGCTAGTCATTGCAGGTTTGCTCTGAAATATATATTTCAAAGTTATATAAACTGAGGTCTCTTACAGGAGTCTCTGGAGAACATGTTCTATATAATATCCAAAGTCTATTCTTGTAGATACAAGGCATCGATCTCCAGAGAATTCGCAAGTTATACTTTTACTCTTCATCTAAAATTTTTTCTCTGTCCATACTATTCTGGTATGTGTGTACATTTATATACAAGAGGAGAATAAGAGAAGAGTTCAGTATCTCGGGTCTCCAGAGTAACCATGAGCCGAAAACTCCCATGTGAGGTAGCACATCTCGAGACAAGTGTAAAAGAGGGTAAATAAAGTATATGCTTCCTGTGTAAACCATAGATATATTACATTTCATTTTTTTGTCCTTTATACTATATTTTCAGTTATGTATACAAGTTAAGAGTGAGAGTATGAAACGGTCCTCGATTGGATATTGTTGTAGTTAACTTTTCGAGATTGTGTGTCAGATGCTTTATCAATGTTATAACGAGCTGTCGCCTTTATTGCCAACCGTATCACTGCATACTACCCCTCAAACTGCTGACTTCGCGTCTATCGTAATAATAAAACGATCTACATTCTGCTACGCTAGTAACACTATGTTCTTGGAAACCACTAACTTCAACATTGCGTTTATAACTTTGCCAGCAATGAATGTTGATACTGAAATAATAACATTTTACTCTATTCTATTCATCCTTTTTTTTATTTTATCAAGACTCTTTTTCTTCTTTTAGATATTCAATTTTTTTTAGGAGCTTTTTATGAAAAAATCGACAAGTTAAACGGAAAATTACGCCAATAAATGTAACTGAAAAATATTTAACAAATCATTTATTAGAGACCACTTTTTAGTCCTTAAAAAATATTTCTTAGTATTTAAAAGGATTTATTAATATTTAATAAATGAATATCAGATTTATTAAATCCAAAATAATTATTTTAAATACTGAAATATTTGTTTAATACTAAAAAGTGGTAATAAATGATTTGTTAACTATTAAAAAATATTTTTTAATATTAATAAATCCTTCTATTAGTGAACAATAATTAAAAAAAAATTATAATAGTATAAAGTAATTATGAAAAATAAAAAAAAAAGAATAATTTACCAATTTTCATTTTATCCTAATATAAAATTGAGATGAAATGTATGTGGCATCAAACTATTCGTAACGTGATTGTGCTTGCGCGCGTAAATTTGAATTCTAGTATCATTAAAATATCAATTGACAGATTCCAGGAAAATTACTAAATAATTAGCTATAATTTACAATTAAAAATAATTGAAACAAAATCATTTGATCCACATTTAATAGGCTGGAATAACAAAGTACTGTTAATCAGTTAGAGTAATAAAATAGAAATTAAATTGACTAAACGATTGTCAGTACAGTGGATAAAATTAATGGAAATGCTTTTGCATGCTATTGAAAAGCTAATTTCAGAAAGTACGTTATTAAGCAGATAATTTCATTGAATATGTCATAAATTATAAATCAATACTCGGGTTTCAATGATCCTGAAGTAGAATTGGTAAATAATTATGTTGTAAAAAAGGATGATAAGTAAATTTGAAAAAAAATAAAGCAATTTTGGGAACAATCGAACGTCAATTAAGCAGTTGATTACTAATGGAAGAAATAAAAATGAGAAAGAGAGACAATGAAAAATCGTGGTGGTATCTCTAGCTTGACAATCGGTACTGTAACAATCCTCATACTCTCGTTGCACCCTTTACTCGACAACTCCACAACACATTGACAATGCTGCACATTGAATATAGTATACCTCGTACGGTGCAGTACAGTAGTACGAAAGGTATAAACTCGATTTAAAACGAACGCGACACGCACAACCGATATACATATATATCTATGTATATAACTACATGGATAACGACGTTTTCCCGTTGGCGCGTCGAGCATCGGTTAACTCGATTTTACGACAGACAAAAAGGGATGAAAAACTATTGCGGGTGGGAGCATTTTGTTGGTTGTAGTTTTAGAATCAAGACAAGAATAGGCTTATACTGGTAAAACTGCTTGTAGTAGTTCTAGTTGTAGTAGTAGTGGTGCAGTTCTGCAGTGGCGGCTAAATTTTACAGTAGACCACCAGAATGGCTCCTAGTTCTGTTGCTTGATGTATATAACCATTCGCTTTTTCAAATGCTTCGGTTAGAGAATTGAGATAATATTGACACCGCTCTAAACCACCGATTTTTTTTTGTTAATAATTATTTTTCGTTCATAGGAATATATATCGACGTTCTAATTAGCAAATTGTCTAACTCCATTTTAGAGAATCTTCTATTTGTACGAAAAAAACAATTAGTTCAAAATTTATTATCACTTCAAAAAACTATTTAATACCATTAATATCTAATACAGATATGATAGTCAGGTTTAAATCATTCAAATAATTTATAATTGGATTATTGCTACATCAAAATGTTAAAAAATCACCCTCTAAAAAATAAGGAGTTAAACAAATTGATAATTAGGCCGTCGATATGCACTCATAAAAACGATTTTATTGAAATAATAAAAGACGGGATCACTGAAAAATATGTTCTAGTAATTTTTTTTTTTTTAATTTGTTTGAAAAATTAGTGTAAATAATTTCAGTCATAAAAGTGAACATTTGTTGAATATATGAGTTCTGATCCAATTTTTAAGTGAAGTTTTTATGAAATAGTTAACTTTCATTCAAAA